GCTACTGAGGCCCTCTAGCAAATCCTCTTGCCCGCCTGAGGTCACAGCGGACAGGTGGTGCTGGTGGGCTCTTAGCCCCCTGACACATGTACCTGTGCCTCTTAACCCGAGGGCTGTCCTCAGCACAGCCCAGAAAAAGGACCAGGGACCTAATGCATCAGGGTCATTTTCAAGCAGTGAGATACAGGAGGCAGTAGATAAAGACCCCACTTTCTCCATCCTTTGGTCAGACGATTCTGAAGCAAGATGGTTTTATTTTTTTGCTTGGTGTGTGTGTGTGTGTGTGTATGTGTTTACCTTCATTTAAAAAAGAAAATGCAGGAAATATACCCACTACACCTTACCTTCTGCGGCCGGGGGATTTCTAGACTAAGGCTTTCCCCCCACAGGCTTATCACTTTCTGAGGCTCCGAGCTTTAGTGAAACTAAACTTTTATGTCCTTCAAAACCCTGGTACAGGGCTGGGGATGTGGCTCAAGCGGTAGCGCGCTCGCCTGGCATGCGTGCGGCCCGGGTTCGATCCTCAGCACCACATACCAACAAAGATGTTGTGTCCGCCGAGAACTAAAAAATAAATATTAAAAAATTCTCTCTCTCTCTCTCTCTCTCTCTCTCTCCTCTCTCTCTCTCTCTTCTCTCACTCTCTCTTTAAAAAAAAAAAAACCCTGCTACATCACACAAGAAGTGTCCCACCTGGAGAGATACTCTGTCCATGGGTTGATTTGCCCAGGAATAAATTCAGGCCCAAAATAGCAAACTAAAGTTAGCTGAGACGTTCCATGCCGTCCCGTGGCCTCCTCCAGGAACATCCTGTCCAAAGGAGAAAGGAAGCACCCAAGTTCAACTCAGCCAAGCAGCCGGGGAAGCACCTCCCGACACAACACGTGGTTCTGGTCTGTGTTCCAAAAAGGGGCACAACAAACAGCCACAGGTGCCTCCTGTGTATGCAGGTTCTCATCTCTTCTCCTTCTCCTCCTCCTTTTTTAGTTGTAGGTGGACCAATACCTTTGTTTATTTATTTTTATGTGGGGCTGAGGATGGAACCCAGGGCCTCACACCTGCTAGGTGAGTACCACTGAGCCACAGTCCCAGCCCCTCTTCTTTAACCTTCTCCTTCATGCTTTTGCTGTTCTTTTAGTTCACCTTCCTCTGCATTCACTCTCCCTTGGAAGTAACTTTATCTTTGTTCTCTACTGTGTAAAATCACTTTTCTTCCTGGGACGGCCATCCCACCCGGGGCCTCCCACATGCTGGACAAGTGTCCCACCACCGAGCCCACCTCCAGCCCCCTTCCTGGTACTGAAACTAAGACTCGGAGGGCTAAGTCACTGACGGGGACTAAGTAGTGACAGCCAGGATCTGAACCTCAGTCCCCTCCCTCCAGGGTGATAGGGTCATAATAAATATGGGTGTACAGGGCTGGGGGTGCTGCTGAGCTGGTAGAGAATGTGCCAGCATGTGTGAAACCCCGGTGAGAGACCCAGCCCCACTAAATTCGTCAATATTGGTGTACAAATAAATGAGGAAAGCCCCAATTTACATATAGAAATAGGAACATGAGATCCTGGGGAGGTAACTCACACAGAGCACCTGCAGGCTAGGGAAGTAGCTCAGTGGTAGAGTGCTTGCCTAGTATGCTTAAGGCTGTGGGTTCAAGTCCCCAGTGCTGAGGGGGAAGGAGGCTGGGGAATAGCAGGCACCCCTGAATCCAGGGACACACGTGGATCTCTGTCACCTCTCCTGTCGCTTCTCCACATCCTGCTTCCTGCGTGACTCCCACCTGCGCAGCCACCCAGGGGAACACACCCCCATGGAGAGAGAAACCATGTTCCTCACCTCACAGCTGGAAAGCCCTTCGGTGGTGTCTTGCCAATGTTTCCTACACTTCTTTAAGCAAATATAAATACAAGTTCCCTTTCACAAAAGGTGGCCTCCAGTGTGATTTTTACTGCACCTTCTTCTTCTTTTTCAACAACGTGTCCTGGAGCTCATTCCTATTGGCGACAGAGCTTCCTCTCCGTTGCTTGATCATCACATAATGTGCCGTTGCTGGAAGTTTAGGTTGTTTCCACAACAATACTGAAGTGTAGAAAGGGCGGGTACTTCCTTCCCTAGGGGCCCGGGATGCCCAGTAACATAGATATTGGGAAGTGGAATCGCTGGGTCAAAGGCAAAGGGCTGGGTGCTTTGGATACATAGAAATCACCAGGGGGTGGACCTGTTTGCACTGGCTATCGAAGATGCTGTCTGTTTAAATTTGAGACTCAGCAGTCACCACAGTGCCATCTACAGAGCACCAGTCCAGTGCCAGGTGGGCTACCATCCCAGATTCTGGGGATACAGAAGTGAACAAAATTAAGTTCCTGTACTCATACCTGACATTGTGTATTCACCACCAATTGATGGACTTTAGGATTGTTTCCAGTTTGGGGTTGTGATGATGAAAAAATTGCTATGAATGTCCTGGTACAGCTTGTGTAGACACAGGCATGCATTTATCTTGGGTACACACTCAGGAGTGGAACTACTATGTCATTTGATAGATGTATGTTTACCTTAATGAGAAAGCACCAAAGAGTTTTGTTTTGTTTTGTACAACGGATTGAACTCAGGGGCACTCAACCACTGAGCCACATCCCCAGCCCCATTTTGTCTTTTATTTAGAGACAGGGTCTCACTGAGTTGCTTAGTGCCTCGCTGTTGCTGAGGCTGGCTTTGAACTCGCAGTCCTCCTGCCTCAGACTCCCAAGCCGCTGGGATTACAGGCGCGCACCACTACTCCCAGCACCAAAAAGTATTCCAAAGTGGTTGTATCATTTTATGTCCCACCAACAATGTATGAGGTTTCTTTTCTTTTTCTTTCTCTCTCTCTATTTTTTTTTTTTTTTTTTTGTGGCTAACGATATTGAACTCAGGATGCTTAACCACTGAGCTACATCCCAGCCCTTTTTTTAAACTTTTCACTTTTATATAGGGTCTCTGTAAATTTCTTAGGGCCTTGCTACGTTGCTGAGGCTGGCCTGAACTTGAGCTCTTTCTGCCTCAGCCTCCCGAGCCACTGGAATTCCAGGTGTGGGCTACCACGCCCAGCAATGGACGAGGTTTCCTGTTGCTCTACATCCTCACCAGCACTTGGTATTGTCAGATTTGTATTTTAAGTCATCAGCTATATTGAGACCTAATTTACAAAAGTAAAATTCATTTGTTTTGGTTTTACGGGTTTTTACAAAGGTATGTTGTTAGGAAACCACCCTTACATAATTCAGAATATCTGGAAGTAGGATTGCGGGGTCATATGAGAACCGTGTGCTGGCATTTATTAGAAAACGCCAGCTGGGTAGGGTGATGCTCACCTGGAATCTTAGCCACTTGGGAGGCTGAGACCAAAGCATCTCAAGTTTGAGGCCAGCCTGGGTAAATATGCAAGACCCTGTCTCAAAACAAAAAATAAAAACAGCTGGAGGATGTGGATCACTGGTAAAAGGCCTGTGGGTCAATCATAGAAAGAAAGAAAGAAAGAAAAAAAGAAAGAAAGGAAGGAAGGAAGGAAGGAAGAAAGAAAGAAGAGAAAGAGAAAGAAAGAAGGAAGGAAGGAAGGAAGGAAGGAAGGAAATTGGCCATATACATTAGTCTGTTTGTCAGCTTCCTCTTACTGTAACAAATACCTGAGATAATTAACTGCTAAAGAGAAAATGCTTGTTTGGGCCCATAATTCAGAGATTTTAGGCTACAGGTGACCGGCCTGCTGCTCTGAGACAGCATATCGTGGTGGGCAGTGCATGGCAGGGCAGAGCTGAGCATCTCACAGCCTGGATGCAAGAGAGGAAGAGAGAGAGCACAGTCTTTTCAAGGTCAAGTGAAGGGACCAAAAGGTCAGTGAAAGGACCAAAGAAAGGAAAACATATCCATTCCTTTTTTGGTGTGACCTGGAAGGAGTGGCATCCTGCTGCTCATATCTTATGGCCTAGAACTTAGTCGCATGAACATTTAGATCCATAGGAGGCTCCAATAGGGAGCCACCAACTAGATCAACATGTGCCCATCTAACACATTGCTACACTAAAGAAGAAGAGAAGACGCGGCAGCTTCTTAACCAGCTCTTTCTGCCACAGACCTGGTTTGATTCACCCTTGACTCCTGAGAGCCTCAGGCAAAGCCTGGCACATAGTAAATGATGGAGAAATGGGAACAAAAGAAGAATAAATGAGCAAGGATGGACCCTAGAATTCTGGAGGTACCATTCACGGGGAGAGACAAGAGAACCCAGATGAAGCACTAACAGCCCACGGTCACTGCCAAACCATACTTGATGACAGGCTAAATCAAGAGGTCACATCATCTCTGGAGTTAGGTCATTTTTGTTGGACTGTGACTCATTCTATTGGGGCAAAGACTCCCTGGGCATACTGTGTCCACTTTCTAATGGAAAAAAAAAATAGTGACAACAATGGAAAGAGTAGCTGGACATTTGTTATCCTCATGAACTTGGAAATCCATGTGGGTTAAGCCTTGGAGAGATGTCAAGTTCAAGAGACACAGTATACAGCTAACGGTAATTAAGGAGAATTGCATTGATCCCTCACATATCTCAAGAACATTAAAAGAAATTCACAGCAATGCTAATTAAAAGTCCCGTTCCATGTAGTAATCATTTCACTACAAATGTGTATCTAGACATAATATTGGCCGGATATGGTGGCCACACCTCTAATCCCAGCTACTCAGGAGGCTGAGGCAGGAGAATCGCGAGTTCAAAAAAAGATGTACAGTTTAAATATACCTGGATCCCCAGCGCGCAGGACCTCAGGTGCGCAAAGATGCCATCAAAATACTTCACTCCTTGGTGCTCTGGTCTTGGTGTTTTATCAACATGGCAGCAAGGCAGCGAGCGGCCTGGAGCCCCCAAACAGGAGCGTCTCTGACAGTTTCTACGAGGGGATTCCTCTGATTGGCCCAGTTTGGGTCATGTGCCTGGCTCTGACCTATCACAGTGGCGAGGGGTGAATGGAGTCTTCCGATTGGCTAGCCCTGGAGCACACCCTCCTACCCAGACTTGACGGATTCCCACCAGAGAAGCCCGAGGGCTGGCCGAGGAAGCTCAGCTGGCGCCGCCGGCCTGGTCCTTCCTCTCCTCTCCGCCCGTCACAAAGTCAGGGGAGCCACTGGACACAGGGAGGGGGCCGAGCAGCCAAAGCCACCCGCCCACTGCTTTGAGTGGAAAGAGAGTTGTAAGCACTTACGTTGATTATTGAGCCACGTAAGCTAACTTGGGGGATTCTAGATTTATTTTCAGGGGATTCTAAATAATTCATATTTGAGCTATGATGTATTCATATTCTAGGGCAGATAATTGGAGAATCATATGCCTGGAATACGGTTAATGCAAATGCACGTCTTTACACTCTGCCCGAGGTGGCTCCACAGCAGAAGGATCATGCTGGAGCCCAAGGAACCAACCGTAATTTTAATTCTGTATTAAATTTTGTTTGATTGAACTGTATTCCATGTCACTTTGTGATTTAACGTTTTATATATGTAATGCATATGTATATGATTTTACATAAAATCACGAAGGTGATCATACCACATATATATTAAGGAGGAGGTTTCTTCCTCTAGAGAATTTTTTTTTTCTTCTCTTTTTTTTTTTTCCCTGTGGGTTTCTCCCTAGTATTCTCTCCCTCCCGCCCCTCTCTCTCTCTTTTTAATTTTGGTTCCAGGGATTGAACTAAGGGGCGCTCAACCCCTGAAGCCACCTCCCCAGCCCTGTTTGTATTTTATTTACACACAGGGTCTCACTGAGTTCCTTAGGGCCTTGCTAAGTTGCTGAGGCTGGTTTTTAACTCACAATCCTCCTGCCTCAACCTCACAAGCTGCTGGGATCACAGGTGTGCACCAACATGCCCGGCTCTTATTTTCCTCTTTCTTCCTCACCCTCTGGCTTATATACTCCAATTTTTATTTTATTCATACGTATATAATTTTATATAAATACCTATACACACATGTATTTGGATGTATATACATGTAGATATGTAAGTATATGATACACATATACACTGAATATATGGGGGGTTCTATAAATAGAATCATATCATCCCCATGTTTCTGGACACAGCTTCTGTCAGTTAACAGTATGACATTGAAATCCTTCTAAGTCACCCGGCAAAGAGCATTTTAATGGCTTTGCAATATTCTGTAGGATCTCAGGGCTGGGAGTGTAGTGCAGTGGTAAAGGCTGTGCTTAGCATGTGGGAGGCACTGGGTTTGGTCCCCATTTACACACACACACACACACACACACACACCTTGCTCAAATGCTGGGACAATTTACGAATGTGCAAGGATTTTCCACGTATGGTCACAAGTAATAACTGTCAGGTTTCCCTCTGCCTTCTTTCCTCTTTCTCCTGATTCGTCCCTCTCTCTACCATCTTTTCCTTCTCTTTCTCTTAAATTGAGGTGCAAATGGGCACGATGGCGCAGCCTAGAACCCCAGCCACTCGGGAAGGAGAGGCAGGAAGATGGCAAGTCTGTGGCCAACCTTGGCAATTCAGTGAGACCCTGTCTCAAAATAAAAATAAAATAAAGGACTGGGAGTGGGTAACTTACAGAACACTCCTGGGTTTGATCTCCAGTCCTGCAAGAAAAAATCAAATAAATAAATGGGAAATTCACATCACATGAAATTAACCATATGCAGTAACTGAGCTCTGTGTAGCCACCCTCTATCCAGGTGAAACACATTTCCAGGGCTGGGGATGTGGCTCAAGCGGTAGCGTGCTCGCCTGGC